TACTTATTTAGTTTTTTAAAAGTTACTCAATTATATAAATCAAGAGTTGTATTATAAGGGTTGGTTAGTCATAAATGAGGGGTTATCTAGTTATAAATTAGGGGTTGTATATTTGATATTTGGGTTTTCAGTTATTTCCAGTGTTCTTCTATCTATTATAAGGATGTATCAATGAAATTATTGGTAAGTTGGCAATATATTAAATAAAATAATTTGTTTACATTATTCCATTATTCAGTGTAAAAAAAATGAAATTTTCTAATTATAAGAAAATGGTCTTTTCTTTTCAAAAGAAGATGAAACTTCATTGAGTATAATCAATCCTAGAGCTGATCAACTCACATACAATCCAATCATATTTAAAAAGGTAAACAAAACATGAGATTCAAGTCGCATGTGCACTTGTGTGCAATATATTTTGGTTTTCACTTAACCAACAAACCTACTAAAGTGTTATTTCACGATGTTAAGTTTACCCACGAAATAATAAAATTAAATATTTCACACAATCTATATAACTTTATGAAGGATTCGAAGGAGAAATCATTCCATTATTGCTTTCTTTTCAAAAGTTTAACTTAGATGAATTGACACACAAATTAGTCACATTTAAAGTTGTTAGCCTTAAACTTTATGTGAAATGGATTAAGAAGTGTCATAAAACTATGTAAAATTTTCCAAAAAAAAAAAACTATGTAAATTTGTCACAAATCATTTTACTATATACGTAGACCTGTTTAACGGACTAGTCAGGGCTTTATATGAAATGGGTCGGGCCGGGCCAGGCCAAGCCTAATCCGAAATGAGTCGAGCTTGTCCATGGGCCATTAAGCCCAGCCCATTCAAAATGTATAAACAAACTACAACAACCATGAAATAAACACAATATAAAAGAATTATAGAGGGTCTTTCAGGGGCCTTATAAGGGTCTTAGAAATAAAATTACAAAGCAAGTATATTGGTATCGTAAAACTCCGGAAAAGTACAGGATAAATTTCGGACAATAAAATTTGAAATCCAACACATTGTATTATGAAAATAGTTCATATCACCTACTATAGTACTATGAGAGTTATCACCATTAAATAAAAGTGACAATTAGTGACTAAGATTGGAATTTGCATTGTTCTTAAGCTGCTCATTCATCTAATTAATCAAGTATTCTTCAAAAATATTCAAGCAAGCAAATAATCCCTAAAAAAAACTTATAAACACCATCACACAATTATACAAACAAAGAATTGTATACTAATTTTCAATTTCAACAGTCAAAACTTCGAAAGGGTTATAATTTAAAATTAACCCAAATCAAATTCTAAATTAGCAAGTTCCAAAAAAATCCCCAATTCAATTCTCCGCAGTTCCAAACTAAATAACTAAATATAGTCCAAAAAACTCTAAATTCTTAAAATTACAACATACATAGAAAAAATTGATTAAGTACCTATAATCAATGGGAGTAGGAACTTCAGATTTGTCGATAGCATTGGTAGAGAAAGTTCTAGAAGTGGAAAGAGAATCGGCGAAGAAAGAGCGCGGTGAAGAAGAAGAAAAAGATGGAAGTGGTGGTTCCAGAAGACTAAAAAGAACGCCATTTTTGGAGGGCGCTGTAGTGAAGAGAGAGAAAGACGAGTGACAATTAGTCCAAAATTCAATGAAGGGTGATAAATTGAAGATTGAGAGCAGCAGCAAGAAGATTGACGTTAGGAATCCGAGAATTTTTTTTTTAGGGTTCATAATTTGGGGGAAATTGAGAATTTTTATTTTCAAGGTATCATAATTTGATGTTAGGAAGTTTTAGAAACAGAAAAATTAGGATAAAAAAAGCTTCATAAGAGTTACCCAATTTCAGCCCTTTTTAACTTAGACCCAACCCTTTAAAAACCCATTATTTAATAACCCTTTAAAAGCCCGCCCCATTTAAATATTGGATGGATAAAACCCTTTTATAAAAGGGTTGGGTCATGGCTTTAAATGGGCCCCTAACCCATTGGACAAGTCTATATATATGTATTATGTAAATGGTTTAAAAAGATCAAATTTCCTAAATACAATTAAAAAGAAATTACATATTTAAATCACAAATTTTCATGTGTGGCTGGACACATATTGTGGACGGGGTTATTCGGTCAAAGTTTACTGAATCGGTGAGGGATTTACTCGGTCGGTTAGGGGTTATTCGGTCGGTCAAGAATTACCTAATCAATGTTTTGGTGCGTGTCAGTTTGTCGCACGGTATGGCTGGCCACACCAGTCAGCTTGTCGCACGGTATGACTGGCCACACAAAAAAAAAAAAGCCGTGGGACTACCTCAAATTTCCCTCATTAAATTGGGTTACCATAATATAACTAAATTATATTTAAGCTCGTGGGATATTTTAATAAAACTCTTATATATATATATATATATATATATATATATATATGAATGATAATTTTAAGTTTCTTAAAATAATCTAATCTAATCTAATATTATATATAAATAAAGTAGGCATTTTTCGAGAGCATTTGGCGCGCCAGTAAGCAAAGGTATTATTTCAACCAATTAAAAGTTAGATTTGTATTTTATTTTAGAATTAAAAAATTCACTCGCCACATAAGTAAAAGTGACGAATGAAATTTAAATTTTTTGCCACGTAGGTAAAATGAAGAATAATGATTTATTAAGATTTAAATTATTTTAAAACTAAAAATTATCTTTTTTAAAAGATGATATTTTAAATTAAAAAAACTATAAATTTATTATATACAAACTCTTTAAAATTAAATATTTGAAAAAGGAAAATATATGTTCATTTTGTTTTTAAGAAAATGTTCAATCAATTTTTTTTTAAAAAAAACAATTATAAAGAAATATAAATTATTAATAATTAACTAATATTCTTCAATTTTTTTTTTTAAAAAAAATCAATATTCTTCAAAAAAAAAAAAAAAAAAAAACCAAAATGTTCAATTTTTATCTTATCTAGCAACCCGTTTCATGTTTAGGTAAAATTTTTTATAAGAGATTTATTTGCTACTCCACATATATATATAAGATAGGATGATATTAAAGATTTGTATACATCCGCTCAAAAATATAATTTTGATTCTTTTTTTTCAATTGTAAATAGACAATATATATATATATATATATATATATATATATATATATATATATATATATATATATATATATATATATACTATACTATACAAAAAACACAAACATGTGAATATTATTTATCTACACTTTTTCATGGTGTGAATTTTTTTCAAGTCTAATTCGTTGATTAACAAAAAATATTGGAAATAATGTAAGTATATCAAGGCTTTCTGATGATAAACAAAATAAATTGATTGTTATTCATTATTTTATAAGATGTATGTTTTGTTTTATTTTACCTAATCTAATTATATATGTTACTTATCGTATTAAATTTTGTTAAAAAACTTAATTGTAACTTAATATTAATTATTCTGTGTCCATTCGCCAATTGAAAGAAATTTCTTCAAGCACAAAGAGAAATGTGTGGATTGGAAAAGTAAGGGGCTATTCTCTTCAGCTTATTTTCAGCTCAGTTCAGTTCAGTTCAATTCCTAATTTCCTTCTCTCATAAAATATTCAGTTCAGTTCAGTAAATCAGAACAGGCCCTAAGTCAACTATAATGTTATAATAGTAGGGAAAAAAAAAATTAAAGAGTGTAAGAGATGTCTTTGATAATTTTTTTGTGTATTATAGTTTATGGTAGAATATCTATATTATTATTGTAAAAATCATTGTAGTAGTGTATACATATAACTCTATTATTAAGGACATATCATAATGAAATTTCATTATAAAGATTTTTTTTTAATTAGATTAATTTTAGTAATGCAACACTCTTGGTAGTATATATATATTTCATCTAACTATTTAAAAATTTATAAAGTCATATCTTTTACTATTACTCCCACCGTCTTCATTTTAACCCTGTAGTTTTGGGTTTACTTTATTAATTTTTCATTGTATAAAGTTGATACGGAGTAAAAGAGTAATGGTGGTCTAAGTTATTGTTTGTGAAAGAATAATAGTGATTCTATAACTATATATGCATAGTGGAACAATGTGTTTTCGTTATACAAACGAATCATAGGTTAAATAAATACGAACATGATTATGATTTTATTCTAACATCTATCATACTTATAATTTTCATATAACTAATATTAGTAAATAAAGGTCGCATTATAAGTTGCATAAAAATAAAACAAATTATCCGTTTTCTAACAAGCAAAATAATAAAAAAATTATAGGGTTTAATTAAGAAAATAATCTTTTCATGAGATTTAGTATAAAAAACCGTGCATCGCATGGGCTTCCATCTTTTGTTATAATAGTTAAATTAATCTTTTGCATGGAAATTAGTATAAATTAAATATCTTTTCTAAATAAATCTTAGTAATTTAGGATACTTAACGATTATTTGTTTATGTAATGACATACGATTAGATGTTGTATATTTAATATATATCATATTTACAATTTATTTATATTTAATAAATTCATTATAAATTATAGTAAAAAAAAAATATATTAAACTTTTGTAATTTTGTCTAAAATTATTAAATACAATACAATAAATCAAATAATTAAAAATCTTAGATGAAAAAACCTGAACTTCCATATAGTACTTTAATATCTAAGGATAATTTTTAGGTCTTAAAATAAAAGAGATGATTTCTAGTATTTTAAATAATTTAAATCATAATAAATCACTGTTCGATGTTGTTATCGGCAAAATTTTTAAATATCTAATTTTAAAATTTTCTTAGGAAAAAAAAATCGAAAGCCTATAATTTTGCAAGCTGTGGGGTTCGAACCCACGCGCACTTATGTGCAGAAGATCTTAAGTCTTCCCCCTTAACCACTCGGGCAAACTTGCTTAATTGTTAATCAAATCTAAAAACAATTTATATTAATAATAATAAATATACAACCCTTAAATAAATAAAATAAACCCTATAAAAAGAAAATTCCCCAAAATCCTCAAAATCTCCAACGTCGTCAAACTGAAACCCAACCCTCAGAGAGGAGAGAGAAAGTACAACAATGGCGGAACATTTAGCTTCGATATTCGGGACAGAGAAAGATAGAGTGAACTGTCCATTCTACTTCAAGATCGGAGCTTGCAGACATGGCGATCGATGTTCAAGGCTTCATACTAAGCCCAGTATCAGCCCTACTTTGCTGCTTGCTAACATGTATCAACGCCCTGATATGATTACTCCTGGTGTTGATCCTCAAGGCCAGCCTCTTGATCCTACCAAAATTCAACAACACTTTGAGGTTTGAGTTTTTTTAGGGTTTTTTATTTTGTTAATTCGTGTTTAGGGTTTTTGATTTTTTTTTTTGGGATTTGTGTTTGGTTGCTGTTTGTGGTAGATTTGGGTTATATTTAATCTGATTTGTTCTCAATTTTTTCGAGATATCATGATAGTATAATTTAATACTATATAACCTTTTTTATTTTTTTTTTTAAAAATTAGGGTTTGCTGTAGTTTAATTTGTATTGAATAGTTTGTTCAAGTTTTAAGTTTTGAAGATTTCTCTGTTTTTGGTTGAACTGTAATGAAATTTATCTGCTGGTGATGTTGTGTTATTGAACTGTCGGATTTTTAGCTTTTCGTGTTCCGTTGAGATTTTGGGGTTTGTATTTCAGTTTATGGGTGAGATTATTACACTGCTAGATTTTTGTGTTCGGTTTAGTAAACTTTAATTTGGTGATGCTTAATTGTTATGTAATCAATCTGCTTTTTTGCTCTTTGTTATGCTTGAAATTGTTGGGACTTCCGTCTGTTTTTGTTTCAATCTTTAAGTTGATCATTAGATAGATGATATGTTGATAGTTTGATGTTTTAAATTAAATGTGCAGGATTTCTATGAGGATTTATTCGAGGAACTAAACAAGTACGGGGAGATTGAGAGTCTCAACATTTGTGACAATTTGGCTGACCACATGGTATTGTTTCCGATTACCTTACCCTGATTGCTTAAATTATCATATACGAGTGCAACTGTACAAGTTTTGACAGTGGTTTCCATTCCCTGTTTCCTCTTCTGGTGCAGGTGGGCAATGTTTACGTGCAATTTCGAGAGGAAGAACATGCTGCTGAAGCTGTTAGGAACTTGAGTGGAAGGTTTTATGCTGGTATATTATCTTATACTTCTGATAGAATTCCTTGCACCATGTTTGTTTTGTTGTGATGCTTTTTGTTTGTACTTTTATTTAATTAAATAGGTAATCTCTTTCCCTCCAATACTTTGTTTCCACTGAATAGATTTGTTATTCCTTTTTTTCCACTGATTTTTTTTCTTATTTCTTTTTTTTTTACTGAATCTATAATGTATTACATTGCTCAATGGTTAATTGAAGGGCCATAATTCCATGAATCATGTTCTGGTCTGAATGACCCATGAGAAGAAAGTAACAATGATGATCTCCCATGCTTTGATGAATTTTTCAACCCTCTTTGAGTAATCATGAAATTCTTCTGGAGAGCAGTGAAAAAAGTTTTTGTATCAAGTTTCTACAGCAGCTCTGATGCCATTTTATATTATATTTTGCAGGCCGTCCAATTATTGTCGACTTCTCTCCTGTAACAGACTTCAGGGAAGCAACATGCAGGCAGTATGAAGAGAATGTGTGCAACCGTGGAGGTTACTGCAACTTTATGCATTTGAAAAAAATAAGCAGGTGATTTTTGTGTTATCACCCTCTTTATTTGGTTGGATGGCTAGATTTATACTTTTTAGTAACATGCTTGTTTTGGTTGTTTACATCAATTTCAGGGAGCTCAGACGTCAGTTGTTTGGAAGGTATAGAAGGAGGCGTAGCCGTAGTAGAAGTCATAGTCCTCCACGACATCGGGGACATGGAGATAGGGGACATGGAGATCGTCCACATGGTGGCCGTGGTGGATATGGTGGTAGAAGAGAGGATGATAGAAATCAGCGATACCCTGACAAGGGTAGGAGGCCTAGAAGCCGTAGCCCTGGGCATAGGGGAAGAAGTCCTGTAGGTAGAAGGGATAGGAGTCCAGTGAGGGAGAATAGTGAGGAAAGAAGAGCAAAGATTGAGCAGTGGAACAGGGAAAGAGACCAGACTGATAATGGGAATAATGATGTTAGTCATGATGCCAATGATAACCATGCGAACGGGTCCGTGGAGAATGGGGAGGATTACTATGACCGTCCTCAACAGTAAATGGATGAAGTGGTTTAGCAGACAACATTCACTACTTTTGGTATGCATCATCTACCCTGTTTCAAATAGATTGAAGTATATGTCTTCTCAGGATAAGAACTTGATAAATCATATTTTGCCCTTTTTAAACAGCCCCATAGAAGGTTATAGCTTACCACCCATTTTCCACTGTGCAGGTGGAGTACAGGTTCACTGCTTAAAGATAATGAAAGTAGAACCTTTTTTCCAACTTTTGAAATGGTAAATGAAAAAATTTCTAATTAAACAAGATTAAAGCAAGAACTTCTGTCCAATCTTTATCTCTTAAAGGTTTTTTTTTGTTTTGTTTTGTTTTTTTTTTCCCCCTTTTTAACTTGTAAAGGTCACATTTTTCTCTTTCAAGCCCAATCTCTTCTATTTTTTTTTACGAGTTTGCAGTGGTCACATGGCCTGGCCGGTCTGGGGTGACTATGGTCCTGGCCCAGGCATTTTTATGGCACAGCACTGCACGCGGGCCTAGTGGGCTATGCTGGTGCAAGGTCACTGGTTATCACGTGCGTGCATACTTAAAGCTGTTTTCATTAACAAAACAAATCAACTTAAACACAAAGAGCAATTATGATTAATGAATATGGAAATTTGTGTTAATGAACCTACAGAGTAGTTAAAGCTTTGTATTTGACATGCTTTTTGTATACTTAGTATTTATTAAAAATTATTCAAAGATAGAAGTTTTACTATTTTTAAGATAATGCAATACAATTCCTTAAAGATTTTAATCAATTATGTTTGATGAAGTACACGAGTACAGAATGGCTGACTTTATTATGATAAATTAATAAGCTGTTTACACTTGGAGGGAGGGGACTATGTATTGTTTTAAGGTTATATTATGAGCTGAACATTAGTTATATGTTGGCTTCAAAAAAATAACAGGAAGAGTGAAAGTGGTTAAACCTAACAACCTAGCTATGTTGTCCAAAAATAAAACAGGAATGGTGAAAGTGGTTACACTTGGAGGGAGGGGACTATTGTTTTTTTTTTTTTATTTTTTTTTTATTTTTTTTTTTTTGGCTATATAGTCAATCCTTGAATCAAGTTTGGGAGTTAAAACTATTTGGCATACTAGAATTGCACATTGATTAAATTTAACAAAGTCAATCCTTTCTCTTTACATTAACCCAGCTGATCTAATGTTTTTGAGAATGCCAGTTAAGTGTTGCCAGCTGGTTAGAAATTTAGAATAGCTTTTAGCCTTTCCTATCGTTCAGCAGTTTTGAGTCTTTAGTATTCAGTTGCACTTGCATTAATCTTGTTATTTTCCAGAACATGATATATTGGTTCATAAGCAATATGGAGAATGAAATGTATTCCCATCCGCCTGGAAATCAGTTGCAAATATGTTATAGGTTTGGTTTCATGCTTTAGTGGGAACTATCCCAGTATTTTTTTTGGTCGTTTAATGTTTAATCTTACGTAGTTTGTCAAGGTGTGCAGGTCCAGGTTTTCCTGTAAGATGGCAGAGACCTCGTCTTTTATAGCAGCTTATTGTTATATTTCTATACAGGTTGTCTGTTTTCAAAATCAGCTCGTTTGCAGAATCTTTTTCAAAGTTGAAGTGATGGATGGATTGAAGATTTTACGCGCCGGCGAGAAGCTTCAGTTTAGTTCTTGGTGTGTAATATTTTTTTCTCAGGGACCATATTGCAGTGTCAAAAAGTTTCTTTGCTAGTGTTTTGGGAGACTGTTGTGCTTTCATATTGAAGACTATCTAACTGGAAATTTGGAAACGTACTGAATTCTATCCTGTTTTTCAGTTTTACTTCACTCATCATTGTTATTCTATATGTAACTTACAAAAGATGCAAGGCAGGAGGCAAAATCTTCAACCCATGAATTTTCTTCCTGTGTCCAATTGAGTTTAAATGCTACACCTGGGGTGAGCACGGATCGGATATCTGATATTTGATATCCGATATCCGATTCGAGAATTTCGGATATCTGATATTCTAATATCTAAAATTTTCGGATCGGATAACTCGGATATCCAATATCTGTGCCGTTAAAGTTCTAACTATTTGGCAAAAATTATTTGTTGTAGAGGCCAATTGATAGTAATTAAACTTCTTAATTAACAATTTATTCCCAAAAATGACCTTATTTTCATAAATTGATTAACTATGGTTCATTTAAAAAAAAAAAAAAAAACAGAAATCAAATTTATAAAACAAACTAAACCACCCACCTCACCCTCATCTCTAACCAACCTTCCCCACCCCACTTGAACCGAAACCACCAACCCCACCTTAGCTGCCAACACCATCACACTTACCTCATATCTAAACTCCACCCAGACCCGAAATCGAAACCCCCTCTCACCCGACCTCCAAGGACATCAGCAACTCAGCAAGCAACAACATCAACGGCATCAAAAAGCAACAACATCAATGGCATCAGTAGCCCGACCTCCAAGCCACCATCGCAGAGTGTCTGGGGTGGAGTAAATAGGGGGCGGGTTTCGTGGGTAACTAGGGTATGGGTTTCGAATTGAAGAGGAAATTCGTGGGTAGCTGGGGTACGGTGCTCGGGTTTCAGGTTGGTTGGTGGTCAGAGTTTCAGGGTGGTTGGAGTTAGGGGGTTTTGTGGGTGGTCGGATTCAGGGTTAGCTGTGGTGGGGTGGTCGGGGTTAGGAGAGAGAATAAAGGTGGTGGGGTGGGGATTAGGTGGTGATGTGGTGGTGCTTATGGAAGGAGGGTGGTGGTTATGAACGAAAAAAGAACACGCTTTCTTTGAAAAGAGGAGAGAGGAAGTAGAGAAGAAGATGGAAAAGTTTAGAGAATGAGGGAAGAAAAGGATGGAGCCATGGAGGTAGTTTCAAAGATGAGGAAAGGAGAGAGAAAGTCAGAGAGAAAGAGAAGAAGAGAGGCGGGTGGGGGTCTGGGGAAGTGGGGATTGAGGGTCTAAAAGTTTTAGGGTTTGGCTAATGGATGATTTTTTCGGATATCGGATCGGATATTCGATATCCGATATCCGACTTTTTTCGGATATCGGATATCCGAAATCCAAAATTTGGATATTCGATATCCGAAAAATCCAGATCGGATGCGGATGCGGATCATCAGATTTTCGGATCTTCAGATAGTTTTGCTCAGCCCTAGTACACCATTGGAATCTACTCTGCTTTTTAAAGAAAACGTAGTGAAATGCAGCAAGGGTTTTTTTTTTTTTTTTTTTTTGGGGGGGGGGGTTAGGGTAAGGAGAAGGGCCTTATTGGGCCAGAACCTCTTACAGGTCCTCTCGACCCGGGTTAGTGAGCTAGACACTTTGAAAGTGTGGGGGGGGGGGGGGGGGGGGGGGAGGGCAAGGGAATCTCTACCAAAGTGCCTCTAGTGGGGTTTGATCCCACAACTTCAAGGTTGTGAGATATAAACCTTACCACTAGACCAAGCTATGCTTGGTGCAACAAGGAAACTGTTGGTGATGAAGTTTTGTTATTGTGATGTGCATCATGTATTTGAGAGAGCTCTTATCGGATCATTATCATTTCACAATTTCACCGAGGATGCGAGAAACTAAAGAAAACTCCTCATGCTTGGATAAGTAAAGTAAAACTATGTTGTGAATAAATTTTAATTATTTCTCACCAAATAAAGTTTGGTCTAGTGGCAGGAATTGAGCTAGCTTTGAGTTTAAATGTATAATTCCAATTGGGCACTTGAGGTTAGGAACTTTCCTTATCCTTTCTTCCTTTAGTATCTAGCCTATAGATCTGAGTGGGGTTGACCTGTGAAAGATTTTGGCCGGATATGGTAGTTCATCTTACTTGTCTAATAAAAGAATTACTTAGAAATTATTTTTCATTTAATAGAAAGACAATACACAAAATATGATATCCAGTTTGCATATTAATTACAACATTACTTTATGGGATTTGTTAAACATCGCCCACAAATTACTACATAAAGCCCACAAAATTCACTTGGTTTGACAAAATTGCCCTTGACCTTAAAAAAAAACACTCACACTCTCATCACTCACACTCTCATTGCTCATCTTCTTTCAACCTCTCTTAAAAAAAAAAAAATTTCAAACAACGGCAATGTCGAGGCGGCAAGGCAAGGAATTGGCGGCGGCGGCGGAGGGAAGGATGTCCCAAGGAGGCAAGGTACAATTTGTAAAAAAAAAAATAAAAAAATAAAGGGAAAAACCGCCGTGACGGCGGTGGGGCGCCCTGGCTGGACGCCCAGCAAGCGGTGGTGGCGCCAGCTGCAGACGCCGCCACCAGTTGGCTGGCGCCTGGGCTGGACGCCATAGCCACGGTTGTGGCGTTTATTCAAGGCGCCGCAGCCGTGGCTGTGGCGTCCAGCCCAGGCGCCAGCCCACTGGTGGCGGCGTCTGCAGCTGGCGCCACCACCGCTGGCTGGGCGTCCAGCCAAGGCGCCCCCCCCCCCCTTTTTTTTTATATTTGTTTTAAAATATTGTTTTTAATTTTTTTTTTGTGTAATATATTTTTGAATTGTTTTTACATTTTGTTGTTTATTTTTATAAATTTTTTCAATTTCGTTGTATATTTTCTATGTTTATATTTTGTTTACAATTATTTGTATGTTTTTAGTTTATTTGATTTGGGAGTGGTAGCTATTTTTCGTATAAATTTTTGTATGTTTATATATTTTAAAATTTTGTGTAGAATTCACTGGGTCGTCATGGTGCGGGGAAGAATGTAGAGCTTCTTAGTAGAAGCTATTCAGTGGAGAGGTCGGGGCATAGACATGTCAGATCCCGTGGTATTTCGGCCTCAGCTCGTAGAGAACGGATCCACCGTCGGGATGAGGATGACGATGACGATGATGATGCTGAGGAGGGTGACCAGGAGGAGGAGCAGGAGGAGGGCGCAGATGAGGATGAGGATGTGGACGATGGCAGTGGACCGTATGATGATTACGGTCCATTCAGTCAGAGGGTTGATGACATGTACGAGACACATATGGTGGAGGTGCGTAAGGGTAGGGGTGGTAGGTTTGTTAGTAGATCTGGCACATCATCTGCGTCCACTGTATCTGGGGCAAGCAGGAAACGGTCGAGGGCCGGTAATGATTCTTGGGTTGTTAGGAGTGAGGTGCCCGGTGGGCCTGTTGACGGGAGTGTGATTCCTAGCTTTCTAGGACACATAGCTGCCCGTATTTGGGAGGACCAGGAGAGGCCTTCAGTTACGGGGTTGTTGAAATGTCATACCCGGGAAAAGACTTGTAGCTTTTTGCGTACATGGGCTGAGGCTTGGCCGGCGGAGAGCGAGATGTTCGAGCGACTGGAGGGCACTGGGGTGAATCACGTTCCTGCCACCATGCACGATAAGATTGACAGTACGCTGATCACGGCTTTCATTGAGCGATGGCAGCCGGATACAAACTCTTTCCACCTTCCGTTCGGTGAGATGACAATCATGTTACATGACGTCGAGGCCATTCTGGGGATTCGTGTTGAGGGTAAACGACTTTGTGCTGTGGCTGATGCGGATCAGGCAGATTTGCTGGCAGAGTTGTTGGCGGTGGACAGGGCTGCACTGTACACCGAGGCGCTAGGTGTTTGGGAACACGGAGGTGTGAAGATCGCATCCGTGTTGCAGCGGTGTTTGTACCCCAGTGCACGTAGGACGCACGACGCACAGCTGAGTGCTTATGTTTTTCTACTCCTTGGATGTACCTTGTTTCCGGATAAGAGCGGCGGAAACAAGCTCAGGCCACGCGACATAGTGGAGGCGTGTGACCCCGACAGTGTAGGCCAGTTTTCCTGGGGATCGGCTACGTTGGCGTATTTGTATCGCCAACTAGGATTTGCGAGTCGGGCCGACGCGGCAGGTATCACTGGGTGTCTGACTCTATTGCAGACCTGGATATACGAGTACTTTCCTGCATTGCGACCACATCGTGACCCAGTTCCTATTGATGAGGGGATGCCGCGTGCTTGTGCGTGGAGTCCGTGCTCGGAGAAGAAGTCCGTTGACCGCCTCCGATCGATACGGTTGTTGCTGGACAGGCTGTCCCCCTTAGAGGTAACGTTTATAAATTGTTTCTACATTTTATTATTTGCACATATTATATTCATGTTATTAAATTTTAAAACTATGTGCAGGTGAACTGGATGCCTTTCGGCCCGAACCCTAGTGTTAGGGTACCCAGGACCTTGTACACGGGACTCATTCAGTATCGTGAGATCGTCGAGGCGTACATGCCCCAGCGTTGTCTTCGCCAGCTTGGATTTGTCCAAGTTGTCCCTCCTCCCCCGGCATGCCCGATGAAGGCGGTCCGACTTGCATCTTCGAGGGACTACGTCGTGCAATGGCCGGATATCATGACCGGGACTCAAACGCACTCCTGTTCCGACGTTGTCGACCTCGAGGACGGTCAACTCCTTTGGGTTCCTCATAATCTAAGGTAGACGTGTGGAACATGTCATGAAGTACATGAGTAGCGTCACGAATAATAGAAGGATGGCTGGAGGACACTCGGTCGTACATCGAACGAAACTGCTCCAACTCCTCCTGTTCACGGTCGGCCGTTTGAGTGTCTGCATGCTCACCAATAACAAGCGTCCTCCAGAATGAATGGACCTGATCAACATGTAACGACGCCCTTTCTTCTGTAATAACGCGGTGAATGGTGCATGCGCAAGGTAATCCATGAGTTACTGAAATAGCACACCCACACCGAGCATACACTTCGTCAGCCAAGTCCCTCATCCTGTTCAGCTCAGTGAGAATCAACCCCAAGCAGTAGTGCGGCACACGACCATGGAGAATCTTAAATATAAAATGGCTATACATCGTACCATGTCGTCGTCTGGAGTCCTCTAGAGAGTTCCTGATGTCGTTCTTCTGAGTTTCAATTGACTTGTTCAGTCTAGCGAACAGTGTATCCAAAGCAGCGGTCGATGAATCAATGCAGTCCTTGGTAGCTCTATGAGCGCTCTCAACTCTACATGTTGTAGTGTTCCCAAAATGAAGTACCTGGTTTGTCCAATATTTGACAAACTTTTCCCTGTGAGGGACCCATTGCTGCATCACATAGTCCACCAGTGCCGGACACCACTGGTACGAATCCCTGAAGTTAGCCAATGCTCGCTCATACGCTTCCTCTGTGGTAGCCTGTAGGATCTTCCGCCACTTACCATTCACCAATCTCTCTGCCATTTCCAAATTCTTCTTGAAAAGGTTGTAGGCTTTCACTTTCACGCAGTTGTTGATGTGCCATGTGCACAATAAGTGGTTCGATTCGGGAAACAGCTCTGCTATGGGGGCAAAGAGACCTCCCTCACAGTCGCTGACGATGGCTGCTGGATGAACATTAGGCCCGATGTAGTTTCTCAGCTTCTCCAACACCCAATAATAACTTGGAGTCGTCTCATCCTTGATGATTGCATGACCAATCAGAAAGTTCTGGTTCGTTGGAGTCATCCCCATGATCTCAACCAGTGGGAACTTGTACTTGTTTGTCTTGTACGTTGAGTCGATCAAAATCACAAATGGCCAAGACTTGATCATATCAGCACAATCAGGATGCACAAGGAAAAGATGAGTCACCTCCGCTGTATCTTCATCAGAATCAAACCAGAACAGGTAACCACGTGATTGTGCCTGGTGTAGCAGCTGCTGTATAGGGTTCCTTCCCTCTGACCGTTCAAACCTGAGTTGCTGTCTGACGTTGTAGATGTGTCTTCGGTTTGGATGGTCTTCTGGAAATTTCTCTAACACAGATGCTAATATTTTAGCAGGCTTCACTTGAGCATCACTCATTTCTTTCACAACTAGTTTCGCAGCAGGACTTAAGCCGCTCAGTTGTCGATGACCCTCTTCATATACTATCATCTCATGGTTGTGATACCCCCATTTAGAGTAACCAATCACTTCCCAACCGTCACGACTCCGTAGTTGTCGAACCTTTACTCTGAACTCACACCCACAACCTTTCCGCTTTGTATCAAACCGAGTGGCTGTACGAAAATCTCTTTCTTCTCTTTTGCGATAACGGTCACATCTCAAAATGCGATCCATTCTACCATCCCGTTGAGATTTATGAGTTACTACTACCAAGCAAAATCCAGCTGCAATTGCAACCTGTTTTGCCCAATCAATCACCTGTTGAGCTTCTTCGAATGGACCATCATGCCCAAATATCCCACTGTAATCATTTCCGTCCCCACCATATTCCTGCATCAATTATATATTACAATAAATACATTTAACGGATAATACATTTAATTTCTATATTTACACAGAATTAACACAAAAAAAAAGCATAATTATATATAATCAAACTAAATTTTTATAAAAACCCAATTCGAATTTTCAAACTAAATTTAAAAATATACCATTTCGAATTTTCAAACTTAATTTTAAAAAAACCTATTTCGAATTTTCAAATTTAATTTAAAAAAAACCCATTTCGAATTTTTTTAAAAAATCATTTTCGATTTTTTTTTTAAAAAAAATTAAATAAAAAACAACAACAAAATCAAAAAAGAAAAAAAAAATTAATTTATAAGGGTGGCGTCTGCCAGGCTGCCACAGCCACTGGACTGGCGCCTGGCAGGGCCGCCTCAGCCAGTAGAGTGGCGCCTGGCCAGTACGCCAGTCTGGTGGTCTGGGCGTCTGGGCTGGACGCCACTCTGGTGGTTCTGGCGTCTGGCTTGGACGTCCAGGCTACGGTTTGGGCGTCCATCCTAGGCGCCGGAGCCACTCCGACGGTAAACCGTGAATTTTAACGGTGACTTACCTCGTTTTCCGTCGACGACGACGTACCTCCGGCGTCCCCCGCATCTCCGGCCTGCCCTCCGGTCTCCCCCGGCGAGCCAGTACGGCTCCACATTTTTTAAACCGAGATTATTTCAATTTTAGAAAATGGGCATAATGGTCACACCAAATCATATTTGTGGGCTTTATATGGTAAATTGCGGGCGATGTTTAGCGTTTCACTACTTTATATGGTCGGTAATTTTCATTATATTTCTTCTCATCACATTAAGTTACCCTTTGATCCGACTTGAATTTAAATTGAACCGGTTTGACCCAACTAGTTATTGACCTAACAAATACCCGTTAAATCTGATTTGTTTTGACCCCAATTGATCAATTAACTCGACCCTAATTACACTCGACATGATTTCAAATTAACCATAATTTTAAGCCAAACGTAATTTAACTAAACCTATAATTTCGAACCAACCATAATTTTTAACCCAACCTAAGAACTCCAGATCATGTGGTTGAAAAGATGACATTCTTTTGCGTCTATATCACTAATAACCTTAATTTGATAAGTTATCAATAGTTCGAGTTTAATTTGACGTAAAGATGAAAATGACACGAAAACTGATCGAATGAGAAAACTAATACCTCGTAATTATTAATGACAGGATATGAAAAATGACATATGAATGACCTGATATCGACCAATAATAAGGTAAAACTTAATAATTACTCTGGTTTTAAAATGACCTTATTTGAATATTGAATTTATTGACCAAATTTCAAGCAAACACGAAAAGGATTTAAATTGAAATTGACCTAATATAGAATCCACCTTATCTTAATCGAATCGAAATCAACCCAATTTGATTCAAAGTCATCTGACCCATTAACATGGTCAAACCCATTTCGAACCCGATTCAAATTTATCCGAATCAATATGAGCCGAGTTAGATTAACCCGACCCAGACTTGACCCTACTTTGATAGACCTTGACCCGAAATTGACCCAACCTGAGATGGGTTAAAATGATCTCCTTAGTGCGAATAGACCCAACCTCTCATGGGTTAACTCAGACTCTATCCGGCTACTCGAATTAACACCTCTATTCACAAGTATGCAACAACTATATCAAAAATTAGAGATGGAAACATTATAATTGATTAACTGGTTACTTTCGTTAATTAGTGTACCAAGGATTATTAAGTATTCTAGCGAATTTGAGTTGTATTCTTTTAAATGTAGCATCCCTACTCACCATGACCACCACCTCTAATGTATTCTTTTTAATGTAGCATCCCTACTCCCCACAACCTCGAACTTTCTCTACTTGCTGCCCAAATTATCATTTGAATCTCCTGCTTTGTACTAGGCTTGCACCCTGGGGAACCATTCAAAGACTCAGATAAATAGGCAAAGTTTGCTTCCTGCAAGCTAAAGCACCACTCCTAAATGAATAGACCAACATTTCAAAAATACAAGGCAATAAAGAGTTTAATCTATAAGATGGAACACCTTCTACGGATTGACCAGCAACAGGCCAAAAGCGAAGTATAGCATATTTTAAGCTACAGTTTATGCACGGCACAAAAGGCTCCCATTTACAGGTAACTTTGAGAAGCAGCAAAGATAACCAAGTGAGGGAAAAGAAAAATATTTGCAAAATACGGCCGATACCAAGACTATACTCCAGCTCCAGTACGAAACCCATTTGTCCAACTATGTCCCCATTCAAGTAAAGGGGTGGAATCACAAAAATTGAAGACAAGCAACCACTCATCATACATAGAGCAATCTTAACCAACTCTATTGTTGACTGTTTGATACAGTGACTTGAGCTGTGTGTTCCATTTGTCAACAGCTGTATACTTCTTCATTCCCTTAGACCTGCCAAAACACAAGAATCAGTTACTACAGTTGCAATTAGGATTAACAGAAACAAATTTCAGAATCAAGAAGCACTAAAAATTACCGGTCACTGCGCTCTAACAGTCTATTCACTTGGTCTATGTGTCCTTGAACTCTGTTGTCCAAAATTAGAGACACTAACAACTGCTCAACGTCTGTTTCTGGGACATTAAGCTCCTGAGGATAGTAAACAAAAAAAGTGAAGAGAATACAATTTAAATGATATACTGATGAACTTTATCAATCACCCCAAGCAAAATTTTAACATATCCCATCAGCATCATCCCAATCATCACCATTATAACATCACCAGTTCACCACAACAGCCTTTACTTCTTTTCCTTGAGCCACTATAGATCTCTACCCTAAACCTCCGGTCCTAGCAGGCTAGCATAGCTAACAGATATCTATTTCAAGTTTGCATTTCAACATCTAGAAGCCATCAAGAAAGAAGCCCAAAATCCAAGATTTTTTTAAAAAAAAGGGTGAGGGAGGCCATGTTTAATGACTTGAATTTTACAGAGTTGGTAAGGAGGTGCATCCATAGAACACTCGATACTATTACTTATAAAAAAATATATAGATAGCATGGTAACTAACGACCCAAAAGTATTAATAGAGTCCATGCATGTTCAATAGGACATTTGATGTACCTTTTCCACAACATTTCCACAAGATCAATTAAATCAAGGTTACAATCTTCCATACTGTACAAGTTTCATTCTTAAGGTTGTATGACTGCATGTTCTTTCATTATATCAGTTGCACAGATGATAAGATCTACAGGTTTCACAAGCAAATAGGCAAGCCATGTAGTACATTGGTATAAACTCTTCTTTTGAAAATAAAGGGATATCAGAGTCTACATAACTATGATCATTTACTTCTTCACTCCTGACTATAAGAGCACAGTTTTCTCATCCTAGTCCCACAGGGAAGGTGTGGATAAGCACCTTAAGTGAAATTACATTACTGATACTTCCTATCAGAATGACCATAGACCACCTACAAAACTTTATGCCCCCGCCACTGCAACCCCCTTCAGAAAAAAGGACACACTTTTGTAGTTTTTAGCATGATGACATAATATACATAAGTACACTTTCCCAGCACCAGGTGTTTCTTAGACAACCTACTGTAGAATTGTTTTCCCGATTCTGTTAGTTATTTAAGCAACATAATCAAACTAAAAACATATTTCCCAGCAAGTATATAGCTATATCACTATGTAACATCATAAACAAATACATGAAGATAAACACAGTACATAAAATAGACTAGCGCAGATAATTATGTTACAGAAATGTTTTGTTTTACCTTGGATATGAAAGGTATTCTGATTCTTGTGTACGGCTTGATTAGTTTGAGCAATACTTGTGTTCTTATATTCTTCAACAGGTCTTCAATGTAATTTCTGATGAAGGGATCATCCATAATTGTTCTCCTGTTACTCTGCAGCATCAAACAGTTATTTGTGAAAAGATCAAAATGTGAAGGCAAACACAATTTCTAAAGCATTTTTCTATAACATTTCTTAAAAAAAAAAAAAAAAAAAAAAAAAACACAATTTCTAAAACATTTTTAAAATATACGAAGTATTAAAAAGAAAGCATATTCTAAAGGTGAAAATCAGAATTCATCCAGACCTTCAAAATCTTCTCGAACTCCAGAATCTCATTTCTCTGATAAGCTGCTATCAAATTTGTCATTGCCAAGATTTCAGGGTCATTTTTGTAACTGTAAAATTAGATGAAGTTTGTTCATAAGGACCGTGTACGTCAAATCATAACAGCATAAAGAGAGAAGAATAGAGATCAAAAGCATACGGCTTAGCCTCTTGCCCATCAAATGGATTCACCTCAGATTCCATTAACATATTTGCAAGTACCAAGTATCTGTCAATAAGGATAAAGGAGACTATGTGAGACAAGGAGAAACGAATCATCAGAACAAATGAAAAAATTTTATGTCCCAAAATGAGTGTGAATATGTATCTAAATTCAAGTCCCATGTATCATTAGCTAAATATGCGTTGTTTCAAACCTACATAATAATTCAATCCAACCCTTTATTTAGTAGGACAGATCAAAGGGCTGAACAAGATACAAAGGATAAAAGATAATATCAACAAGGTTGACGAGAATTGATCCCCCTCTCACCACAAGGTTGGAAGGTGGAAGCTCAACCCCTAGCGTTCCAACTCAACTAACTAGATCAATATCTATTTCAAATTTTTTTCTTAAAAAAAAAAAAAAAATGTATTCCCTTAAACATTTAGTCAATACAAAAAACTGGAAGTATTTTCAGGAATAAAAGAGAAAAAAGTCTATGCATTATACAAAGACAAAGACATAATTTACAGCCCAAAGCTCTATGTTGCACGTAAATAATCTTACAGTGTAATCCAGGATTCACTACTAGCAATCAGAAGAAAGAAGGAACAAGGATCACAAGTAGGATATCGTTATTTGCAAATAGATATCTGTGAGCAATGATGTACTCTGATATCCAAGGGTCCAAATGTTAGTTGGCAAAGAGAGTTTTAAAGTGACATAAGACTTAGGAATAATTAACTTTACTGATGTAAAATAGAGATTCACTTCTAAAATCAATTGATAAAACAAAAAGATTACTGAAACATACTTCAAACATTGGATACGCCGTTGGTTTCCAGCTTCATCGTAATTCTTGAATGCTTCAAAAAAGTCTGTTGCTGCTTCTGCCCACTGACGCTCTGCCATGTGCATTTTCCCTCCACATTCATGAATTATTCCCATTATCCTTGGATGTGGTATTGCTGACTTAACAGTTAGTGCCTTCTGGTACAGTTGCTGCGATTAAACCACATTAATCTATGTGATGAGCAATCAGTTAAGACTTAAACTAAATGAACACCACATAGAGATGATGACAACATACCACTATAAAATTGATAACAATAGAAAAAATTTAACAAATTGGAGAGCTCATCATAAGTTAGAGTTCAGAAACAACTACAAAACAGATACATGTGTAAATCAACACCCAAAAACAGAAAATTCTACATGTAAGAATTGCAACTTACAACAGTGGCGGTTAAAACATATCACAGTACATGATAATATGGACTGCAATCACAGCAGTAGTTCTAGTATACATTATTTGTATATTTAAATTTCACAAAAAAGGTTGCATTTAATTTACAGTGATTACACACACAAAAGTAAACTATATAATTATATATTCAAAAACCCAAGCATCATAAAATGTAAACTTAAATTCGTATCGATCACAAACCCAAAGACAACAACAAATAGAATAGTAATTCTGAACACTTCTATTTCAAATGCACGATTTTAAAAAAACTTTATTACTTCAAAAGGCAAGATTCCGAAAAAGAATTAATCAAACTATTTCATACCCCTATTGCAGGATTTGCAGCCCTCGTTTCAAGGCCATTCATTTTTCAAATATTGGAAAGAGATAGTATTCCATACAATCATCAGGCTTCTATAGTTTTATTAATTAAATATTTTTTTTTTTATGTGAGCAGAGAGCCAGAGAGTAGAAATAAGACCAAAAAAAAAAAATCGTTTAAGTTGTGCTGAATGTGCCCACCTTGAGTTTCTTGTTGTTCTTGGTCTCAGTATACATTTGAATCTCAATTGCATAAACCTCCAACAGTTGAGTTCCTTTCTTTTGATCATCTGTACCATCTTCTTTTTGACATGATTTGTGAAGTTCCTTCAATATCTGTCAAATCCAAACAGAGAGAAACTATATCACAAACCTCAGTTGCTAGTATTATCACTAACCACAAAAGAAAGAAAACAGTTACATGAAACCTTGTTCATTCGCCCATATTCACCCATGTCAAACCAGATCTTGCAAAGCTTTAGATTAGTTTTGAACCACAGTCTCTGCAAAATGAGAAAGTAAGGCATTAAAACAGTGACACTTGAAGCAGAGAAATACCTATAAGATAGACTGCTAATGCAATAAACCCTCACCTCATTTTTAGCCTCTTCAAGAGCTCTCAGGGTTGTTTGGTAGAACTCTTGCAGGAGATCGAAATTGTGGCTGGCAGACCCAGAAACAAAATCCATAATGTTGTTTATACATTTCTCACTGTAATTTCTTGTCACAGCTGATTTAATGTAAGTCAACATCTCTCTATATGCTTCCATCATCTCTTTATACTTTCCCAGTCGATAATACAGCTTTACTGTTTGCTTTAATGCCTTGAAACCCCTAAATGATGAATCGGAGGTCAGAAAATGGTGTGGTATGAATAAATAAAACTACAGTTATATAAATTCTGAAACATTCATAAGTCATCTCTTGTGTAGATCACTGAACAGTGAACACTGATCTCCAAATGAGCTTGTTTGCATCAACCCACTCAACTTGTTAAAATATGACTGACTACATAACGGTCATTAGCACTCAGGTGATCAACCAAAATGATATCCACAATAGCCCATTTATCATTCCAAATTCAATTCTAGCTATCTCGACATAATTGTTCCCTTTTACTCTACAAAGTAAATTTCACACACAATCTATGTTACTTGGACTTGGGTACCTATGTCCGACACGATACATGTCGAAGTGTCTTACTCAGCTATTTTTTGAAAAATTTCCATAATTTTGAACTAAAATGAAGTGTCTAAGTGTCCTACCCATGTTCGAGTCGGGTCTGACACAGTTACTTGATGTGAGATGAAGAGTCCGAGTAACATAGCACACAATACTCTTTCCAAATTCATGTTTCTAATGTTTACACAAAATATACAGCGCAAACCACCTGAAGCGAGTGGCTAATTTTCTGAGCAAGTTCAGCAAAAACTAAATTCAACTTGTTAGACAATAAAAATTGTATTATGTAAAGCTTACCAATCTGCTTTGTCTGGTTCCATGCGAACCACCTCAGCGAAACCAGCAAGAGCACCTTCAGGGTCAGTTTCAACCAAACCTAGAAACATAAGGGGAAACAGTGTCAGAAATGTCACCACAGCCTTTTTTATTCTGTTGGGGGCACAGGGGCAGAATATTCACTGGAGACCATGTCCAACATCTTACAACACGATTGGAGTCAAATCATTATTGGTCGTTAAATTAATGCATCTAGGGTGACTGGGGAATCAAATGGTATATGATCAGCAGGGTACTCAAAGTAAAACTGACATAGACTGAGGAAAACTGGAAACAGTGACATGGATGAAAATTTTACCATACTACTCTTATAATAAAAATACATTTAACAATGATACACAAAATTGTACATTCAGTCTAATGAAACTGAGCACTGGGAGAAAAAAAGTGCAAGACATAGGGAATCAAATGGAATATCCATATAAACATCCTATGACTAAAATAGTAGAAACAATTAACTAATTTTATAAATGAAGCTGTCATTTGGTCACATAAATCTATTGAAGTATGAATAGTAGCAATGACGTCAACTCTTACTTCCACAGGGGGAGCTAGAATATCAGATGACAAAAAAACAGCCCAATACAAGATCAAGAGAAGATTAAGAAGTAAAAGGATGTGGGAACCAAAGTCTTAATCACATACGTAGTTAGAGGCAGAACTTTCCTACCTTAGTTTACCCCTGAAATATTGTTTTTAACTAGGTAGTACATCCTTTGCCTTGCACACAAGAACCCCCAACAAATGTTTTCAAGTTCAGGTGTTGTTTAAGGTGCTTAAATGACACATACAGCCACAATCACCAATACATAACTGAGCAACATACTCATGACACTTGCCCAAATAAAAGATATACAACCAAAAATCAATCATGCTAGATGCTTCATCATATAGATATCAATGGCATTTGTGTCAACTTCTCTCAATCTCAATGTCAAATATATTCACCATCTTTTGACCTAACACAAGGTAGTCCTCTTTTGACTTCCAAGCCAGCTTACTCCAAATGCACAAATTATTTAAAAAAACAGAAATGGAATCCAGATAACAATTCTAGTATCATCATTAATCTTTCCTCATCTAGCCACCCATTCATTAACAAAGATAAAGAGGAAACACTATACTTCCCCTGTGTATATTACACGTTACATAAGCTTTTTCAAGGTTAATATTAAAAAAAAAAAAAGAAAAGAAAAAAGATATGAGTCTTTTCAACTTTCAAGAATGTTAAAAAAATGTCATGATTCTTCCCTGCATTTTTTTTTAAAGTGCAATAGATTGATTGACATGGAGTTTTAAGAGTTTGAAATGAACTTTTTTTTTTTTGACAATTTGAGTTGAACTTGTTAAATAAAATATAAGAAGAGTTTGTTGGGGTATTTAATATTATAGAAAAGAGAAAGTGGTTTAATAGTTTATTTAAAAGTAAGGGATGTGAGAGAAAAGAAACAATTTTGCAACCTATGCCTCTAGATTCACCAGATCAATTTCTTCCTTTTACCACTATTCTGAAATTGTCTAAACAGAAAATAATCACAAACTATTTACACTCCTAACCAGTACAAGGAGAGAGTGAACAAAGGGGAACAAAATCTATTCCTATAGTCAATTTCTTATCCCAAACTGATGTCTTCCCTTTTCTCAGTCCAAGCAGTATGAAAAGAGGCAGATAACAAGATCAAGAAGGTTTTTCTGCCTCATTAACCAACTTCACCAATACAATTTATGTAACGACCTCATACAAAATACAAGTCCACCACACCTCATACAAAATAAACCACAATCCCCAAGAAATAAACAATTATCATGCCATTAGCATATTTTTCAAAGTTTCCTTGCGTAATGAACCAAGTTCCTTTACACTAACACCCATATTCAACCCAATTTCTTGTCAATATAAAGGATATTGATAATTTGTGTCAACCATAAAGGCATTGCGAAGACTGATTGAGAGTGGATTCAAGTAATATATCAACAAAGCCATACCCCCATTTCCCCCAATATTCCCAGTAAAGAAAAACAAACTATAGCAAACATTGTGCCGAACACCCACATGTTCTGATTTACAGAAGAATCAAGGGCATAATAACAGTATAATTTTCCGAAATATTAACTGTAAAATTCACAAATTGCAAAACTAATCAAGTACTCAATGGTATTATCAAATTGCTATACTAATCAATAATTCAAAGGACATCCACAAATCGCTATATTATCAATCAAATTGAGAAGCATCGAAAAATAACCTTTGGAATTATAGTACTGATTCTCAATGTCAACATCTTGCTCGTCTCCATCATCGTCAGAATACTCAAATCCGTAATCTTCCATATCCGCATCTGTAACAATATTCAAAGAAAACGAAATTGATTAAGCAAATGGAAAGCGCCATTAAAGCAAGAACTAAAATACAACAGAAAGCGACGAAATTGAAAGCGAAAATCCCACCGGAAACCATGGTAGCGCAGATAATCGGGGCTCAAAGCGTCTGGAAAAACCCTTGAGAAATTTGAAATTAAAATTATCAAATTAGGGTTTATATAGAGTGAAAGAATTGTCGGGAAAAACCCTTGAGAAATTTGTTGTGTGATGTTAAGGAAGCGAGAGTTAGCGAAAAACGGGGAAAAAGAATGATGCAAGGGTATAAAGAAGTGCAGGGAGTGATCGTTTTGCAGGATTTATACTGGTTTGTCCAGATAGTGACTGGGGTTTGAGCCAATATATCATTCTTCGGATTTGGGTATGTTAACATGAATCATCACATGTCACGAACAACCGTTCGTAAAAAATGTAATCCATATTAAGACCACTTTTAATGTTGGGCAAAAATAATACTTGCCCAATATCTCTCTGCCCACTTTCTCTCTTAACAAATCAGTTTTACTCATGGGCAATTTTTTTTTCACAATTTCTCTCCCAATGGTGAGCAAAAATAATGCTTGCCCACCACTCTCTCTCTCTTACTTTTTCTGATGGGTTAATTCACTGCAGCCTGCCACGTGTTGCTTTCCCATTCGTTGAAGCTATGCGCGCGTTAGTCCAGAAATTCCTTTTTTTTTAATCTGATTTAAGTGGGACCCACGCTTGCACTGTTCATCATAAATTCTGCCCAAGACTTGGGCATTTTAACACTTGCCCACGGGCTTTGTCATTTCAGCCCACCATTGTAACCCTTATTTCTCCCTTCTTGCTCACAAATATGCCCATGAGCATATTTTTAGCCCACCATTGGTAGAGCTCTAAAGAAAAAAAAAAGTGTTACAATGAAAGTACTTCCTCCGTTAATGATTTGCAACATTCGTACCTTTCACGGAGGCCTAGGCAAAAGATTTAGTGGGTGTTTAAGAGTGGGTAATTGAAAAGAGGGGCATTTGATTAAAGAAGAGGGAAGGTGGTCCCGGTTTTTTTAAAGGAGGAAAGAGAGTCTGAAATTTTTGGGGGCCAATTATTTCCCACCAAAAATTTGACCCTCCTTTTTAAAAATTCAATCCTCATCCAAATTTTTCCCTCCCTTTGAATTTTTCATTCAAGGAGGGTATTTAAGCAAAACCTGCCAGCATTTGTTACAAGCATTCATGACAAAGTTCCAAAAGAATTTACAGTAAACCATTGTTTAAAGTACACCATTGATTATTCACTACAGTTAGACCAAAATCATCACCCTACTAGTAATTACTCCTACGTCAGTTAGATCATCTTCATCCCATTGCAGTGGTTCAGCTTCAGCACAGCACAACACTTCGAAAAATAGCAAGCCTCATTACCAGCCCTGCAATCTGGGAACTCAGCTTCATCAGAATAGGCAACATGGAAGAATATTTAGATGATGAATTTTTCAGCATTGACCACATGCTAAATGATGAAAGCAATATGGAACACAGTCAGACAAGCAACATGGAAGGGACTGAAAACAATGACAACAATGTCATACATGATGAATCAATGCAGCAACCCAAAGGCAGAAAAAAGCTCACAATTTCCCAGAAAAGGGAAATTGTGGATGCTTATCTTTTGAAGCTAGAGGGTGGGGAATTGCCAAGGGGTTTTTTTTATCACGGCAAGCTAGGAAGTTCAACGTGCACAGGTCAACAATTCAGAGGTTATTCAAAGACATAAAAGCACAAATGGCAGTAGGGACTGTGATAGATGTCAGAAGCAAGAGACTTGGCAAAACTGGACCCAAACCAACAGAGTACACAGATGAGTTTCTGCAATCAATCCCACTATACAAGAGGACTACTGAGAGAAGCTATGGAGCTGCTCTGAAGATTTCACATGTCACCATCCATAAGTTAAAGAAAAAAGGGAGGCTCAGAACACATACAAACACAAATCACCTGCTATTCACAATGGGGACCCAAAATTTGTGGATATGCAGCAGGTAGTCCACATAGATGAAAAATGGTTCTACTTGAACCCAGAGACAAGAATATTCCATCTCCTGCCAAATGAACCTAACCCCTACATGTGCCAACAGTCCAAAAGGTTCAAGATAAAAGGGATGTTCATGGCAGCCATAGAGAAGCCAATTTTTGACCCCCATGAAGTAGTCTTACATGATGGGAAATATGGAATATTTCCTTTTGTTTATGAAAGCACAACAAAGAAAAAAAGTAAAAACAGAGATTCTGGGGTTGTGGAAATAAAGGCAACACAAAATGTGAACAAGGGGGCCATCAGGGCAATGCTACTGAATAAGGTCATTCCAGGCATCAAAAGTAAATGGCCAGCCCATCTATCCAAGGATATATGGATTTAGTGGGATAATGCCAGACCTCATCAAATTCCCAGGGATGAGGAATTTATTGAAGCCTGTTAGTCAAATGGGTTCAATATTCAGTTCATTTACCAGCCACCTCAATCCCCAGACTTAAATGTGCTAGATCTAGGGTTGTTCAATGTCATACAATCCATACAATACCAATCATTTCCTAAGAACTTAATGGAACTCATAGAAAAGGTGATAGAGGCTTATGACTTGTTCGATCCAGTGTTGAACAAGCATTGTTGGATCAGCCTGCAATGTTTCATGGAAGAGATACTCAAAGACCTAGGAGGGAATAACTTCCCACCACCACACAAAGGGAAGAAAAGGCTTGAAAGACTGGGCATGCTACCAGAACAACTACAAGTGGACAAGGCTGTGGTTCAACAAGCTGTTAAATACCTCAACACAATTTTCATATCAACAGGTGAAGTGAATGATGAAGATGAAGGCATGCAAGTGGATGCAGACTGAAGATAACTCAAACACATAAGCAAGGTGACAGTGAGATTGCCACACATAACCAATGAATAGCAAGGTGACAAGTGCAAATCTAGTAGGTAGTATACTCTGTTTGTTAGTTGTCTAAGCTTCATTGGTTAGGTGTATTTTGTTAACATCCATGTTTACTATTACTGTAAGGCAGTCTTGACTACTGTGTTTTGAACATGTAAAAGCTTTTGATAACCTTTATGACTTCAACTGTGTTTGGTTTACTTCATTTTGAACAAGTGATTACTAAATGACAGTAAGTATGATGCACACACACATACATCAATCCATCAGAGGGTTATGATTTATCACAGAAATTGCATAGGTAGTTCCCTCAACAACAACTCACAAATGAAGTTGTTGGAGCAATTCCAACTTATGAATTTTATGGATCAAATGAGTCCCTTCATCACTTGGATTTCTCAAACACACAAAAAACATTAAGGGACTCTTAGTTCACCTAGGGACAGACAACTCATAAGGGGACTCATAGAGGGGCAGACATGTATGCCATAAGTTCATCATCATTCATCATATCCCAAACCCCTACACTTTTGGTGCCTACTTTGTACAACCTCAAACTCAATCCATACCAGATGTAGCACACAATGTAACAGAACTCATAAATGCACAACCACATCCAACAGGAGAAGCAGTACCCACAAATGAACAACACCAAGCCCACAGAACAAAAACCAGGATAAACCAACATGTAGACAACAGTATGCAACAACCATAGCAGCCAAATTCCCAATAATAGGCATTCAATTGGCCACCCATCCAAATACGAGAGCATGAAACAACAATCCCAGCATTTGACAACAAAAACCCACAAACCAGTACAAATAAGCCATAATATACCATGCACATACAACAATTACTACGCATAAGTCTGAAAAACGCAGGCTGAGCCTAAATATCACAATTACCAAGCAAATTAGGCTTCTAATCATAATCAACAAACAAATCAGAGACTTAAAGAGCATGATGAACTCATGAATAAATAAATACAAGGGTCAGAAGGTGTTACGCTGATGGATTAGTTGGAGCCTTAGTTGGAAGGGTTGTAAACCCCACCACGTTCAACAACAAGGTCAACAGGGGACTCAGAGCGCTCCCTTTTTTTGCCAGACAGAACTTGGGTAGACCTAGATCTACCCAGATCAACCACCTCCTGTGCGGTTTTGGCCGGGGAAAGAGCTGCAGAAGGGGTATCAGCACCATCGCCCTTCACACCTTCAAAATCAGGACCCTTTTTGCTCGGACCCTCACCCTTTTTGCCTAGATCTGAAGCCTTAGACCCACCACGTTCCTCATCAGACTCGTTTGGGGCAAGCTTTGCACCATCACCGTACATACGCTTCATATCCAGGTAAGTAGCCATACGCATTCCAATCAACCTCATCTTCCCAGTACGTCTCTAGCACTTGTATGTCGCAATAACTTCCCGATCTGGATTTTTCTCGTTTGGGGAACTCATACTCTTGGGTTTTTGACAGAAAGATGTAGAAGAGCACCGAGATCTGGAAAAATTAGGGTTTTAACCAAGAGAGAGAGAGTGAGGAAAACATATCGTTTCTGGGAGAAGAGAGAGAGTGAGGTAGCCCAGATCGAAACGAGAATAGAGGTGGAATGATGGAATCTGGAAGATTTTCCAGAAGGAAAGGGGCCTCATTAATGGAGGTGGTTGAAGGTTGCATTGATGAGGGTGGGTGAGAAGATGAAGTGAATCTGATGCAATTGATGGAAAAGAGGATAAGTGAGGAGATTTTTGGTGGGAATCATTAGGTTAAGATGAAATGGTAATAGGGGTATGTAATAAGATTAGCAAATTAGGTTAACATTTAATCAGTTTTTAACAAGGGCATTTTCGTAATTTTACAGGTTAAAATTTTACTATAAAAGGAAATAAACCAATTTGTTGCAAATAATAGGTAGCGCCTACTTTTGGTAAATGTTGCAGATAATCGTTAACGGAGGAAGTAAATGGAAAACGACAAAAATAAAAAAAATAAAAAAAAAAAGAAAAAAAAAGTTTTTTTATATCATTTTCTGGATTTGGGTATGTTAACATAAATGGTCACATGTCACTAGGAACTATCTGCAAAAAAAATTGTACGTTGTCCTAAAGAAAAAAAATGTGATACATTAAAAGTAAATGGAAAACGACAAATAAAAAAAGTAAAAAAAAAAAAAAAAAAAATCTAAAAAACCGTAGAAAGAAAAAATGGATAGTGTAAATTAAAAACCCAAAATTATGATATAAATATATGATAAGTAAAAAAAACTAAAACACAATATACATAAATAGACTTAAACATGTTTCAAAAAAAGAAAAAAAAAAATAGAGCTAACACGTAATTTAGGCGCAAAAAAAAAATTGTATATAAATTATGACATGTTCTTGAGTATGATTTTGACCCTCATCTCCACTCTATCCATCATCATATTCCTCAATCCCCAAAGACTCATATCACTCTTAATCACCATCCTCAAAGTTCTTTTAAAATCTTCTCCTATTCCTCATGATCCCATAACTTTTCCACTCTTGTCTCTGAATTAGATCCTCACTCAATCTTCGTTTTACATGGAAACCACTTTATGTGATTCTCCAATACCTTGTTATGATCTCAATAGATACAACACCTGCTTCTTCCTAATTTTCTCATTCTTCACCGATACTTTCTTGTATGGCCACACATCCAACATAACATAATAACATATGCATGTCCACCGCATTATTCGGTTATGCTTGGAAAAATAATTCTCTATTATTTTCAATTTTGAAAATTATTGGCATGATATTGTTAACTTACAATGAGTGGCAAAGCATTAGAATATCCCATTGTTTGAATCAAATCATCACTCAGAGTCATAGATTTGTCTACTATAACAAAAAAAATGTACAAGAGGATTACGCTTGACCATAGGATGGACGAATTGATTTCCTATCATATCCTTACTCATATATGCGGTGCATTGACATGAGGATACTTTGTTGCTTCATGGGTAGACACAATTATATGTTGTCAAAACCTTTAACATCTTTATTATAAGAAGGAGATTTTAGATTTGGAAAATTTTAGGGATTAAAGAGAGGCTATTATAGAGGTTAGATGGTGAAGATGATGGGAAAGAGGAGCGGAAAAGTGGTTGTGCTTGAAAGAGAGAACATGAAGAGAGTGAATTTTGATGATGAAAGGAAGAAGAGAGGCTGAGGGAAGACAGGCTAATTCGCCATAAGTGGACACCTTTTCGATCATCGGGTTGTTGGTTGATGATGGAGCGGAAAGAAATCAATTGATTTGAAGCAATGCTATAACAATCTAAGATTTTGAGATGAATTTGTAATTCACATTACATGAACTACTAGGACAATTCTCTGAGATGGATGTATTATTTTTTATCTTTAGAATAAGAGCTTAACAGATTGAGGAAAAAAGGCATACATGAATATAAACATTGTTAGATATACAATCAGTTGAATTGTAAAATGTACATCACACTTTTTTCATAAAGCTTTATTTCTTTATCACGATGTTCATGAATCATGATATAACCATTTTTTTTTTCGTATGTATGAACAAACATGTTTAATTTTTAACTTATTTACTCATCTAGAGCTTTCTTATACGAGCAAATGAGTTACAAAAAAAAAAAAAAAAAAAAAAAAAGTCATAGTTGCAGCATGACAGTAAAATTTGCTCTTTTTGGTACTTTTCAAAACATCAACTTGCAGCTTGTGATATTGATAAGAAAAGTATTACCATAAACAACCAAATCCAAAGAATCTAAAATAAACGCATTGCATTAGATTAAGATCAACCAGGGATCGAATTATGAGCCCAAGTACTCAAATAAGATGAATTTCAGATAGTTAGTATTCCTTTTATCCTGCACCTCAAAGACTGAGGTACCAGTCCGCACATCAACAAACAATATAGAAAAAAAAGTCCCCGGCGACAAAGAAAATGCAAAACCATCGAGCCAGAAAATACCTCACTCTGCTCTTTTTCATTCTGAAAATCTGATAGGGGCTGATAGCAACAGTTTATAGTTTAACAGACAAATCCTGGTAAAAGGTAACTTCATGAAGGACAAGGAGATCATATTTATACCGAAAAGTAACAATTTACGCATCAATAAAGATGGCAACTTTGTCTTCTACCCAACCAAAATAAACCGATGGTAAGGTCTACAGCATTTTACAAGAAACTAAGAAAATAATCTGGCCCTACATAACACACCTAGAGATAGAAATCAAGGATCAGTTTTATAAAAGTAGTCAGATTCTCAAAAGAACATGGCAACACTGCCGTAGTTCAGTAATTGCTGGCCTCAGCAAAATGTAGCTTAATTGCCACCATGCTTTGCCTTGGAATGAGATTGCACAGCTTGTTCAGAGCCAAATGATCTGTAAAAAGGGAGTTTACCATGTTAACACCACGTCAATCAACTGCATGGAAGTGTTTACCAAGTTAACAAAGATAGGAAAGCAATGCCTACTTGCTGCAAGAAGGGCAAACAAATGATTTGCTGGGAGTCTGCTTGTTAGACTTGTCAGCAACAGCAGGCGTTTTTCCAGTTTGCTTTGCAGGATGTGGTGTAGCAACATGGCCACTAACCTTCTTGCCCTCTAAAATACATAGTCATACACTAAAAATTAACATGCCATCATCTAACTCATATTATATAATAATACCAACAAACGAGCTGAGCTTTTTTCACAAGTAATATCAAAATTACTACAAAAATCTCAATGCATCATTGCATCATTCCTTGGAATGCAACTTATCAAGCTAAATCAGCAGCTAAATGTCAGTACAATAACTCTTAAGGGTACAAAGGGAGCAGAAAATGCACAAGATAGCATAGCATTAGACAGAATCCTAGAACTCCAAATCAAGAAAATTGAAGTCTTCCACAATCCATGCAAGTACGCAACAAATTATTTCTACCCTTTTAACAACCCCCATCTAACCATCCCCCAAAAATTATATTTGCAATGATCACCAAAATATTTATCAATATTGGCTCAAACACATACCAGTTTTCTGCTGTGGAGTAGAAAACTTTGCTTTTTTCTCAGGAACTGGAGTCTTTGATGTGGATTCCCCAGGTCTCTTTTTGGCTGGCTCAGGCTGAAGCAGGTACCATGTAAGCATCAGATCCATATATACTAACAAAAAGATACTTACATTAGCATGAAGCAAGCAGCAGCTTTTACCTTCTTTGGCGTCTCCTCATCACTGTCCTCTTCCTCGTCGCTGTCATCTTCCTCATCACTTTCAGCATCAGAACTCGCCATTTCCTGCAATAAAAGAGCATTATACAACAAATTGTCGTGACTCAACCAAATATACTTTACTTTTATAACTCAGCCATACCACAACATGAATACCATTCAAATTTACAGACCTTCGCTATTGTGGTTTGTTGCAGGTAGAAATGCTAACACATGACTCCAAAATCTAGAAGCAGAGGGATGGCATTGACAAAGACATAGAGGAAAATATTAAACAGTATACAATATCCCAAGTAACAGAGCTGAAGTTCACTTCTCTTTTTAGCAAAGCATTACATGTAACACAGTAGAGCGAATCAAATCTAACTAATAAACATAAGAGGGACATTGGGAAGATCCAGCAATTGGCCTTAAAAAATCAAAATAAACAAAATACCTTAATATGCAAGCACTATCATAATATCAAGTGGGATGAATAGCCATAAAATGATAAAAAGTACTCAATAAGAAAATATATGATAATAATGTGTTGTTCTTCAGGCACAATTACCCAGTAAAATCAAAATGCAAACACTTAGGTTTCTGCAGTTACCATAGCCTCCAAGTAATTAAATATAAAAAGCATATACTATAATAAAATTGAAGCCAATCAGTCTGCAATTATACATTTATACTAGCTATTAAAAACAAATTACCTCATCCGCTTCACCCTCATCCTCAACTGATTCATCATCCTCATCGTCATCTTCATCATCCTCAGTTTCGTCATCCTCCACATTCTTTTTGGCATCTTTGCTAGGCTCCACAATCTTCACCTTTGATGTACCTTCTGCCTTTTCAGGTTTCAAACCAGCATTGGGTTTGGACCCTGAAGGCTTTAAATCATTTGCTTCAGGCTTTCCTAAAGCAGCAAAATTTTCTAAGTATAAGCAATTTGTCACATGGAGTAGATGATAATATTTTAACTAGGAGGACTTGATACATATTACCATTGTTCAAGGCATCAATCGGCACAAGCTCCTCAAGATCATCCTCTGAATTTTAAAATTAAATGTAAGAACAATATGAGACAGAAGGTATGGGAACTCATACTGAAGGTAAAATTCTTACCAGATACATCCTCATCAGTGGACGTAAATGACAGACAAGGTCAAGGAGGATACAAAAAAGCAGACTATATATAAATGATTATAGCAAAAGGATATACCACAATGAATAATCAAAAGAAAGATTGAAGCCAAAATAAGGAAGAAAATCAAAATTAAATATGATGTTGGAAGCTATAAAGGATATGATTTAGAATCATCAACTCTATATCCAATAACGTGTACACTTCCTTGTTTCAAATCATGAGACAGTTCAAACTCGTCTTCAAATATTAGATCAAGGGTTACTTGAGGAATCCTTTCAAGGGAAAGCATTCCAGCAATAAACTTTTGACCATTCTTATGAACATAAAGGCGAATATAATCATTTCCTTTGTCCTTCTTGATCTCCCCAATACAGACCTACCAAAAGGATCAAGCAATGAAATATTAGAAAAATTGATGTCAGACAGTAAAGTTGAGTAAGACAAAAATCTCCTATTTCACCTGCGACAGATGCAACATCTTGCCTCTACCAGGGTTCACCTTCAAGGAGCCTCCACTTTTTATCTCAGCACCTGCAGATATTGAACAAGTGATACAGTAAAGTAATGACTTTGTAGCTCAACTAACAAAAGGCCGAGAGGGAGTAATTCAGAACTCCATTCCTTCAATGTGTGTAGATCATAATTACATACACGACAAAGATACTTCCTTTGTTTCATAAAACAAGTCATTTTGGCATATAATAAGAATTTAGGAATAGCAATATTTTATGCACATATTTTAACTATCCTGAATTACTGGTTAACATCCATATGGTTTTACAAGAATAAAGATACCAGGAGATACTAGATCAATTGATTTATATGTATGACTAAGGTCCTATACTCTACAATAGAATACAGTTCATATTTAACTAACTCTCGACTTTACAGAAAATTCTTAAAATTTACTGAAGCGTAAAAAAAGGGAGAGAGAGAACTTTTTAATAATTTAATAAAAATGAGGTGAAATTGCAGAATTCTATGTATAAACAAGAATAAATGGGAAAATTTTAGTGAGAAATAACAATGTTACGAACGACTATGAGCTTATCATAAGGACATAAATTGCTTGTTAAATAAAAAAGAAAAAGAAGCATGAAACCCATAACATTGTCAAAGATAAATTTAGAATAAACTTGAAGGAAACCTATACGTACCAAAAATAATTGCGAAAAAAAGAACATAGCTGTAAAAAAAATAGATAAAGAAACCTAGTACTAAAATTACCAAAAACTTGTGAAATCCTACTTCAATTTAACAAATAAGTTACTGGTTACAAAAATTAAAAATAGGGAAATTCTTTGGTGACCATATACTTTTTCAATTTCTCTTTGGTAGACTGAAGAAAAAAAAAAAAAAAAAAACCTTGTGATCTCCTGTAACCATGTACTAGTATGTATTCTCTTAAATAAGATTACTGAGGTAAAAAATAGGATAATAAGCCTAATAATCTAACCATGTTTAACATAAAATGCATTTAATTAAAAAAATGCATTTACTTCCCACCCACCAAACATAAATACATAACTACTCTGCTCTTTGAACTACCCCAGCAATATGTCGAATATTTCTTCACTTTCACTGTAGTTTTCTTCGATAAATGGTAAATCAAATTTTATACCCTCTCTTTCACTCGCATTTCATCTTCCGCCTTCCATTGCGGATCAATCCTGAATTACAAAGGTTGATTTCAGTGGGCTCGGAAGATTGGAGGTGGCGGAAGTGTGGTATTTTGGGATTTATGTCGAACGATCGAAATTGTGGAAATTGGGGAATTTCGATCTAACGGCTTGGTCCAAGATTTCTTCTTTGCACCCAATTACATGAATATACTATATTTCCTTGAGTCTGAAATACGAACGTCTGCACATTTCCTAGGGTGGCAATTGCAAACCTTCATCTTCACCCATTTATTTGCTGCCATTAGAAGCAAAGAAGAACAAGTAACAAGGCTACAATAGGAGGGCAATTAGCAGATTACAAGAAAAGGAGAAATAGACTAAAAGAACGGCCTGTTAAGGGCTTTTTATAACCTATCACAGGTTTTGGACTTGTGGCGGGGGAACCCTATTGCATTTTGGAGGAAAATACATTTTATGCTAGCCATGGTTAGATTTTAAGCTTATTTAAACTTATTTAAGTAAATACTTCTTAGTACATGGTTATCAGAGATAATAATTAATTTTTTTCAGTCTACCAAAGAGAAATTGCAAAAGTATATGGTCACCAATGAGAATTCCCTTAAAAATATTACAAAACATGGAATTCAACATGTAAATTTTATTAGAAATAGCAAATTAACAACAATTACCAATTTGAAGTTGCAAAATAAGTCGAAATTCAAAAATTAGTACATGCCTTCGTCAATAATTGTACACCGTAGGAGATCTCTCCCCTAAGTTCACTTCTTCAACTATGAAATCCATGCTACAAATTCTAATTCTAGAGTTTCAAATCTAAATTTTGACGCAAAAAATTGAAATTTCGTAAATTTAAAGCTAATTTTATACGTAGTAGCAATGAAAACTGCAAAGAGATAAGGGAGATTTTCTTAAAATTTTGCAATATTTATTGTACTTTTGCCTACGGTAGTATTCTCAATAACCCCCCCCCTCCCCCCCCACACACACACAAAAAAATAATGGTTATACTTTAGGTCCTTTACACACTTACAAATAATTCATATAAAACTTTGAACATTAGTATCTCTAATTATGTATTTGTAAAAATTATAAAATTTTGATTCTTCAATGATACTTACTCTAACAAATCTCATATGATCACATTTTCCTTACATATAAATCACAAAGTGGAATTTATAAAAACTTGATGCTTCAACAATACTTATTCTAACAAGTATCATATGATAACATATTCCTTACATATAAATCACAAATGATGGTCAAAGTGGAATTTTTGAATTGTGTGTCAAATCTAGGGTGTACCAATATTTCAATACAAAGAGTTCAGCTCCCTCACTTTCTCTCTTTAGAATGATTTCACAGCTTCATCTACAAACTTTAAATAAAGAAGACCTAATCATATTCCTCACATGTGAAACAAAGGCAAAGAATATGCAAGGGGTGTAATAAATTATCTCCACAGTCCAACAAAATGAAGAGGATCAAAGACTTGGTAGCAATTAGAGTAAAGATGATTGACAAGGGTCTATGGCCAGAAGTTAGCTAAACCCCTTTTTGAGTCTTTTTATACCACTCTTTCCCTTAAAACCCTTTCTTCCAACAATCTGACCTAGCGTAGACAGAGGATACACACTATGCAACAAAAACTACTTGAGTATGGTTGCCCTTGCAATGAGACTGCCTTATCTAAGGTTTTGTGCCAGCTTGAAGGAAAGTAGGGCACACTGGTGCTTTTAATGTTTTTCCTGTTGCCCATGACTTGAACAACTATAGGAATCAGGTTCGCCACAAAGGCACAGATGCGACAATGAGAGTGGACATTAAGCAGGTAATATAATGGAGTACCAATTTTTAAGAAGTCAGCATAAAGATGAAATTGCAATATATTTTCTAAAGCCAAAGAGAAAAGGGGAAAAAAAAAAGGGTTACATACACATTACAGTATGCTAGAAAAGTAATCTCTTTATCTCATTCACCCTCTATCCCTGCTACGCAACCACATGCAGAGATATGCAGAAACAAGCAGTCCAATGCTTGTACGTGTATTAATAGCTGATGCTATGGAAAGGATCAGAAAACAAACAACACAACCACAAAGGGAAAAATAAATGGAACATGTTCATAACAAATCCAAAGGAAAATCAACATATCAGGTCATGAGTATTGTCGAGTATACTTACTGGGACAAATTATGTAAATCTCCAAACAATATCAACAACAATACAGACGCTTATATCATGTTAAAGGTATCATGAGTCAATGATCCTTCTAAAGATTTGAAAGTCAATATTCTTTACACTAAAAGCAGTTTGTTCGGGTTATAACTTAACAATTACAAAATACCGCTTGTTCACTCGCTCATTAACAACATGACCAAATTACAATCAAATTTTCCCCTCCGTCCTATTTAGTATTTTAAAAGATTTGCCTTTTTTAATCAAGTTTATTCCTTTGAATTAATCCCATTTTGATTGAAACAAAAACCTGACTTTGATGCTAAAACTCCAAAAGCTTTCATATCTGTATAAGGCCGGGTCCTCCGGCAAAATAAAACCGAAACTTGGAATACTAGATAATCAAATTCAATCCCTAAAAAGACATTATCAAAAGAAATTGGCGACGACTAAGGCAATAATAACAACGACCTACAATTTCCATTCAGTCAACCAGAGCCCTAAACTTCAAATGTAATCAACAATTATTAGATAGTAGATAGTCAACTACACGTCCAATTTGGGTCAATTTTATACCCATTTACACATTAACATCATACATAATTTTCATAGACCCTAAATTACAATTTAATGAAATAATAATCCGAAAAAAAAAAAAATTGCACAACAACGGGAACAAAACATCGATAAACAGAAGCGAAATTCCTCATTTTTTTTTTTTTAGTAATTAACAAACAAAACTAAAAATTAAAACGGAAAAAAAAAAAAAAACCATAATCAAACCGAATATAGGCAAAAAAAATTGACCAATAAAATGGACATGCAAGAAGATTAAAATAAAACCCTATAAAGCGTAATCAAAGCGTGTAAAGTAGAATTGAAGCAGAAACATAGAAGGAGGGAGGAGAGAGATGTACCCCAAAACTCCATGGAAATGGAAGGGAATTTGATCAGTGAGAAGGAAGGGGAGAGTGTGTAACTTGCTGAGTGATTTTCGAATTTGTTAAATGGATTCCAAAACGTTTATATAAAGTGATTTTCGAATTTGCTCAGATGTACAAATTCGTACTAAAAAAAAATGGATAAATTTAATATATAAAAAATAAAGTACGCATTTTTGGAGAGCGCCACGTAGAATATACTTATTTCGACCAATAAGAATAAAGATTTGTATTTTATTTTTGAATTAAAAAATTATGTCGCCACCTAGATAAAAATAACGAATTAGATTTGATATATCTAAATTTTTAACGCCACGTAGATTATAATCCACAAATTAAATTATTTTAATGAAAAAAATAAAGTAAAAATATAGGAAAAGATAAATTTATTAATTCAATACTACGAGTATAAGAAATCCAAAAAAAATATACTAAGAAATATTTAAATGATAAACGCTTAATATAAAGTTTGATACCTATCATTATAAGATAAATTTTGATAATAATTATGATAAGAAATACAAATTGTTCGTTAATTATAATTAAATTAAATTTTGTGATACCTATTATTATAAATTGACACATCATCCGACATAAACAAAATTTCGTATCAATAAAAAAACCCCATCAAGCGAATTTTGTGTTAGTAATTTTGTATTAATTTTTGGTCATCAATGACCGGGTAATTTTTAGCTTAATTTTTAAAATCTTATGTTTTAAATTAGTATTTCTAATTATTACTTACATTGTATTAATTTGGGATACTCGACGATTATATGTTTATGTTTTATTTACTAAATGTTTTTTTACATGCAAATCTAACACATCATACGACAAAAATAAAATTTCGTATCAATACAAAATCCATCAAGCGAATTTTGTGTTAGTAATTTTGTGTTAGTTTTAGGTCATCAATGCCTGGGTTATTTTCAAAATCCTATGTTTAAATTTATATTTGTAATTATTAGTTACATTGTATTTATTTAGGATATTTAACGATTATTAGATGTTGTATACTTAATATATGGATGGCTTTAGTTATTTTTGGAGATGATGAAAAAATTCCAATGTATAGATTTGATTTTATATCGCAACAATTTTTCATTTTTGGTAAATATATTGATTTATTTTATATAAAAGTAAAGATTTAATTTATATCAATTTCAGATTGGCTAACATTTCACGGTTCAATTTATCCATTGATGTAGTAGGTTGGTTGTGGATGAGGTTGATGATTCTATCGAAATAAAAGATATGGTAAAACAATGAATAATGATTTAGAATTTAATTATTAAAAATTTATCATTTCACATTAAAGATTTTATATAATGGAAAAAAATATCATATTTACAATTTATTTATATTTAATAAATTCATTATAAATTATAGTAAAAAAAAAATATTAAACGTTTGTAATTTTGTCTGAAATTATTAAATACAATAAATCAAATAATTAAAAATCTTAGATGAAAAAACTGTGCATCGCACAGGATTCCATCTAGTTTAAATAAAAATTATGCACTTATACAAAAATATTTGTACTTTTATAGTTTTAGATTTTTATCAAAATTATTATATACTACATGTTCAACATCTCCTAATACATATTTCAATGTAGGAGTTCATTTATTAGTGTGATATTTTAAATTGTTTCATTTTTTTAAAGATAAATTAATAGGTTTTAGTTGTAACGTAGAAGTTTCTAATATTTAAATTTAAAACTTGTTAAATATGATAGCTCAAAAAAAAAAAAAGATGACATCATCCTTGCATTTAGGCGGAAAAAATTTTAATAATGTGGATAGTGATGACGTCAGTAACGTTTTGTTTTAGTAATAGTTAATAGATTTGTTTGAAATAATCTTTATGGGTCCATTTTGTGAGAAAGGTGGAAAAAAGAACAATTTGGCCTTGTTTGCTGGTTGTTTGTCTTGACTGGTTTAACTAGCTGTTGGTTTTAGTTGTTGGTTGTTTATCTTGGTTGGTTTGACTAACTGTTTGAAAGGAATGGTGTCCTTCTAACAAGTGTATTCTTCCGATAGAGGGTTCAGAATTATTACGGAGCTAATTCTTCAGTAAGGTCAAGTGATCGGAATGCCTAGGTGGAGGCCGCTTCCGATCAGTAATATCAATGTACAATTGATGTTACAGCTTAATCTTAACTGAACCCTTTGGGTCGAACCCAATCGAATCACCGATCCGAGACGACGAATTAATCCGAAAGGATTTAATGAGTCAGCAGAGTTTTACGAATACAGACGTCGGATATCGAGCCTAGGGCGTCGAAACCGAGCGTCGCAAAATCACAAAGCGACAAGTATAAATGTAGCCGTAGCACCACAATGGTCTAAACATGTGGATGCTAAGGCTAGTTCAAGCTAGCATGCACCTGGCATGGCTAGGCGCAAACCTAAGCACACTAGGTGTGCTAGGCGCACCATCAGCCTAGGCGTGCACATGGCAGCCTATCGCAAAGCACCACAAGCCCCAGGCAGCCCATCGCAGCTAGCAGCGTGCTAGCCTGGGTCCCTGGGTGCGCATGGCAAGCTATCGCAAACGCCACAAGCACCAGGCAGCCCATCGCAGCTAGCAGCGCGCTAGCCTAGGTGCCTGGGTGCGCATGGTAGGCTATCGCAGCACCCTAGCACCACGCACAGCACCATCGCAATGCTAGGCACATGCGTGTGTACGTGTGCGTGTGCACCGTCGCCCAGCAGCACGGAGCTGTGTGCGTGCCTTCGCATGGCAACACCAAGCACAGCGAGCTAGCAAGCAGCACTGGCCTTGCGTGTGTAGGCACCATCGCAGGCCACACACCAAGCACAGCGCACCTATGAGTGTGCGTGTCTCGCACCAAGCATAGCAGTGCTAGGCACTGGCTGATGCGTGTGCGAGCGTTGCGTGGTGCATGGTGCGTAGCGTGTTGCGTGCGTGGTGAGTAGGATGATGCGAGGGAAGGGCCAGCGTGCGTGGCTCGCTAGCAGCACGCATGCTGGTTGTGCTAGTAATGGCGCGCAAGGAAAGTGTGTGTGGGCTGCTGGGGGCCAGTGCCAGCACTATGTGCTAGCAGCGCCCAGCGCCAGCACATAAGCACCAGCACCAGCCCAGCATCAGCACGCACTGGCTGGCTGGCTGGGGTGCTGGGCAGCAAGGCACTACTAGCTGGCAGCCCTAGCTGGCACGCTAGCTGGCAGCCAGCTAGCCCCTCCTTGAGCCGTTTTTTTGCAAGGGTGTGGGGACCAAATCAAGACCTTGGGGAGCAAGGCATATGGTCCCCCACCTAACCTTGGCTACCACTTTCTTGCATGAAAACATGCCACTTGTCGCAATATGATTAACTTGATTATTTATTTAATTTGGAAATTAAATAAATGATTGATTTTCAACACTCCCACATTGGTGGAGGATGAAAAACCAAGGGTTCATTTCCCTATAAATACCATGCTTGGGTATTGGGAAATAAACAATCTTGAGTGGAATTAAAAAGGCAACTCTAAGTAAGAGTAAACCTTTGATTCATAAAACTCATAGTTATTTTGTCCGGGTCTTGACTAACCTTCAAGACTTAGGACGCTCGGGTCGGGTCGAGGGTACGATCCGTCGGAGATCTCGTGTTTTCGGGATTTTGAAGTAAGAGCTCTTTGGGAGCGAAGCACGCGACAAAGGTATAATTCTTGTTCTTAATCTTGTTTGATTAAGTTTAATATGCTTGTTAATTGTTTTAATTAAGGGGCGGGTCTTGGTGGGTTTCCTTCCGCGTAGTGTCTGGTCACTACGAAACCCTACAGCGGTATCGGAGCCACGCTCCTTTTAATTTTTGCAATTATTTTAATTAAGGTGTTTTAAAAGAATTTAATTTTCTGGTTCATGTTCTTCTAATTAGATTAGATGCTCGTTTTAATTAATTTTAAAACTCGATTTTATTTTCGATTTGGGTGTCGAACCCAAATTTTGGCTCACAAATAGTGATTTTTGGGTGGAATTGACATTCTGGAACAGATTCATTCCGTTTAGGACTGTCCAGAAGCCAAATTCGAACCAGAAACCCAATTTTTCTGGGGTTTTTCGTTTTTTCAACGAAAATTTTAATTCTTTTAAGCCTTGATTAATGCAAGCAATACAAGGTTAGATTAAATGCACATTTGCATCACTAATCTACTGGTTTTAAAATATCCTTGAGCATAGTAATGGAGTTTTTATTAGTGCTTAAGTTGATATACCAATTTTTCACATAAACTTGTTTTTCACAAATTTTGCAAATAAATTGCAATAAAGTGTGAAAACTTGTTGTGATCTTGTATTTTTAAGTTCCCAAATAATGTTAAAGTTCTAATCTTTAAAGGTTTAAATGATTGGAACCCTAACCCTAAATTCCATGTTGAACAAAGTTCGTATTTTTTCATGTTTGGTTGATTAAAATCCATCAAGTTCAATTACTTGTGAGTAAAATTTGATTAATCTTCATATTGGAAGATGTAATCTTGGTATTTTACACAAGTATGCAAGTTCGAAATATTTTTTTTTATCATTGGATGGTTAATTTACTTTTCCAACTCCCATTTGTCAAATCCATTATTAATTTGCATATTGGCAAGATTAATTTTGGACATAGTTCATTTTATTTTAAGCATAAAGTTAGACCTAATTTTGTTCAAAATTGAAATTTTGGATAATTTAGGCTTGTGCACCAATAAAATAAATTTTATTTAAGTAGGACTTAATTTAATTTTATTTTATTTTTCCTCAAATTAATTCTAAAATGTAATTTGGAATTAATTTATGCCACACATAAATCGGAATCAAAATCCCGAGAAATGCACGCAAATCGATGCAAAACCGCAAGCGTCACCAAGGCTAACCGGGCTGCCTAGCAGCCCACATGTAGGCTGCCTGTGGTGCGCATATGGCTGTGCATCGTTGGTGCGTGGCTGTGTGGCGAGGAGGCATATGCGTGGTGCGTGTGCTGGTGCATGGGCCTTAGGCTGCTGGTGCGCTTGTGCTGCTGCTGGGCAGCGAGGCAGCAAGCCCCAGCCAGCCAGCCCACTGCTGCCTGCGCCAGCAAGCTGCTAGCATGCCTAGCATGCTGCTAGTGCTAGCTAGCAAGGCAGGCTGTGCTAGGC